TCTTCTTGCTAGTAACTATCCAAAATTGACTTCTCTCAAATTGTTTAATTTTGGACAAAATATCGCTTTAAATTATTTTACAGGTAAATATTCATATATATATGAAAAAATCAAGATACATAGTAGCATTTAAATAAAACTAGATATATGATCTGATTGGTTTTGTTTTTGTTTAGATAAGTCAATCTTTCAACATATTTTCAAATATCAAATAACAGAACTTATTCTTGAAAATAATGATAACAATGATTACGCAGATGAAAATATATCACCAAAAGAATATAATAAAAATGTATATGTATCTATATTGACTTTATTCGAAAATCTTCAGTCTTTAAGTATTGTTGGATCATTCACGAGCAGTTATCCACCATTATCAATAGTTGATTTACCATCAACTACTTTTTGCTCTTCGACTCTTATAAAACTATGTATCAATGTACGTAGTTTAGATGATTGTCTTTATTTACTTGATGGTCGTCTTAAACAATTAACTACATTCATTGTTCAAATACGTTATATTCACAATGATTTATCAATTATTCATAATACTGTAAGTTGTATAAATTTATTTTAAAATTATTTTTTTTAACATAACGATTATATTGTCTATTAGAATATTGAATAGATCAATAATGTAATTCATCGGTTATTTTTTATACGAATAAAAATAGAATATAACACTTGACTTTTTCATAATTAATTTCTATTCAATATAATTATTTAATCAAATGATTAAATAATGTAGTAATTTATTCAAATTTTATCTAGATATTTTTGTTTTTGAACAAATGATGATCTTTGTTAAAAAATTTTCGAGTTCTTTTACAATGTATTCTAATTGATATAGTGAAAGTTTAGAGAAAGTATATCAATTATTTTGTTTGTCATTATTGAAAAAAAAAATTGTTAACGCAATTCTTATAGGATTGACATGTGAAGCACGACATTAGATGTTATTCACATCCTCAAGGATAGAATTATCAAGGTGCTCGTCACGATCTGTATGACGGAAGGGATTTGATTCACTTTATATGTTCAGATTAAATATATAAGAAAAAGTTCAAATAGTTGAATATAAATAAAAATATTTGATCGATAATTGATGTAAATATTTTCGTAATTAGATGTAGTTTTTAAATATATGTTTTTGTATTTTCTAGGATAATTTATCTAATTTGAAATGTTTTTCATTAACATGTTATGATCTAACTAATGCATATGACAATCGAGTGATACCTTTATTACATCGTATGATAAATTTAGAAAAATTAACTTTATATATTCGTATTACAGATCGATCTACATTTGTTGATGGTACTCATCTACATAAAGAAATTCTTATGCATATGTCACAACTTCATACATTTATTTTTTATATTAGTACTATTATTCAAATTGATGATTCATTTCATCGTTTATCTGATAATAATATAAAAAAAATTTTTCAAAATATAGGTTATTATCAAACATCTTGTATTGTAAACTATAGTCGATCCAAAGCAATATATCATGGTTTCTCACTTCCATTCGCATTTGATCACCTTGAAATGATCACCAATACATTTCCAACTATAATATTTCATCATGTTACTTATTTGAAGGTGTTTGATGATGTTGAATTCAAACATGATTTCTTCATTCGAATTGCTAAAGCTTTTCCATTGTTGAAACACCTTACGATTTTCAATAAAATTTTGTTATTCATGGATTTTGACAAATATGAAGCTGATTATATTCAATTATGTCCAATTATTCAATTTTCTCATCTTATTTCACTTGATATCATGGTTCAGAATCGATATTATGTTGAACAATTTTTACTTGATACAAAGGCTCATGTACCTCGTTTAATCGAATTAACACTATTTTATTCTAATCTGAAAAATGTCACAAAAAATTTTACAAGAGATGCAACACGACACAATTGTGCTAATATAAAACGATTAATCTTTTATGACCCATGTGATTATCCAACAAAATTTAATCATTATTTTCCTCCTTTGAATATTGTATCTTGTCCTAGTATTATTTCATAAAAAGTCTCATATTGTTGTCTCAAAATTCTCAAATGTAAATAAAAATCATTTGTTAATATTACTTCATGTATATAAAAGATAGTTCTTGTAAGTGAAATTATTTGTATCATTTATTTTTATAATAACGGGTGGTCGGAAATTATTTGCACAAAATATTGGTACACTTTTGACCCGCTAGAAAGTACTTTCCACAAATCAAAGGGTATACATTAGAACCAGAATTTTGTGCTCTTTTCGAATATGGGGTCAGAAATTTTCCCACAGTTT